TGGTGATTTAGAGGAGAAATATTATATGGAGCAACCAGAAAGCTTCAAAGTCAAATGTAAAGAGAATTTTGTCTACAAGTTGAAGAAGAGCTTGTATGGACTAAAGCAAGCTCCAAGACAGTGGTATAGAAAGTTTGATTCATTTATAACAGAAAATGAATATAAAAGAACGACTTCACATCATTGTGTGTATATCAAATGGTTTGGTGAGAATTTTATTATTCTCTTACTTTATGTTGATGACATATTTATTCTTCAGAAAGATATGTCTAAAATTGACAAGTTGAAGAAGGAATTAAGTGAGTCTTTTGCGATGAAGGACATGAGGCTATCAAAATAAATACTAAGTATACAGATTTCTAATGACAAAAAAAATAAGAAGATTTGATTGTCATAGGAGAAGTACATCGAGAAGGTATTGGAAAGATTCAATATGAGCAATGCAAAACTAGTTGGTTCTCTTGCAAGTCACTTCAAGTTGTGCTTAGAATAGAGTCCGTCAAGTGATGAAGAGAAAGAAAAGATGTAAAAGGTTCCTTATGCATCAGTAGTCAGAAGTTTAATGTACGCGATGGTATGTACGAGGTCGGACATTGCATATGCAGTGGGTGTTACTAATAGATTTCTTGCAAATCCAAGAAAAGAGCATTGGGCAGTAGTGAAATAGATTTTGAGATACCTCAAAGGGAGCTCTAAGGTTTGTTTAAGCTTTGGAGGTGGACCACCTATATTGACAGGTTACACAGATATAGATATAGCAAGAGATATAGATACGAAGAAGTCTATATCAGGTTATGTACTTACTTTTGGAGGGGGAGTTGTGTCATTGCAATCCAGATTGTAAAGGTGTATTCCTCTCTCCACCACAGAGGCAGAATATATTGCTACTACAGAAGTATGCAAAGAAATATTATGGATGAAAGAATTCTTATAAGAATTGGGACTGAAATAAAAAAATTATGTGGTGCATTGTGACAACCAGAGTGTCATCCATTTGTGCAAAAACCCAATATTTCATTTCAAGTCAAAGCATATAGATGTCAGATACCACTGGATTCGAAATGTATTTGAAGAGAAGCAATTGCAGCTCTAGAAAATTCACACACATGACAACGGAGCAGATATGTTGATAAAGACCTTACCAATAGAAAGATAGGAGATATGCCGACAACTGATCGGTATAACTTCACTTTGAGGAGTCATATGACAACCTCCCTTATGGGCTGAAGGAAAAAATTATTGGGCTGACAACCCATATTCAGTCCAAGATGAACTTTATTAGCCCACAGCTCACCCCTTTTAACTTAATCATAATTTATATTATGAGAGATGTGATGACTATAAAAAGAGACAGAAAAAAATAACTAAACAATTTTTGACAACCACGAGATTCTAAAGAAAAGAAGAAGAATGAGACAGAAAAGAAAGAGAAAAAAGAAAAGAAAACAAAGACAACACAAAAAGACTGTTCTTAATAATCTAGCAATGCCTTCATCTTAAGTTAGATTAGATCCACGAGAGATTTTTACTGTGATTACTTGAAGAGAATTAGAAAAAATTTAAATATTATATACAGTGACGTAATCCTTGTATCTCAATTATTCTTTTAATTATGATTCAATAAAAATCAAGAATATTTCTGCTGGAAGATAAATCGAATTTATTTATAAACAGTTTTTCTACTCGTCTGGCAGAACACAGAGACGTAACACCTAGCAGCAGTTCAGTGATAACCTAACGGTGCAGGTATATCCTTGAGTTCCATCCCCCGGTAATGGATGTCCTGCGATCGCCAACCAGAAGCATCTCAGTAACATTAACCACATAGGTATACGCTTCGGAGAGTGGAAGGCAGGACAGAAACATGCCGAAGCGAAGTGATTGACGTCACGATGGTGCGCCTCATCAGCACGGACAACCATGACGACGTCCTTCAGCGTGGCATCGGCGGGGAGGCGCCAGTAGTCAATGGCGATGGCGGGGGCGGGGACGTTGTCGATCTCACCGGCCTCCAGGTCCCTGAGGAACTCGGTGTAGGAATGGATGGCCTCCTCCTCCAGGTATCCCGTCACGCGGTGGGCGAACCTGGGCGAGACGAGGTAACCGAGGAAGTATGCATTGAAGAAGACGCCCTGCACGGCGATCACGAGGGCGCGCTCGTACCACCGAGGCTGTGCCACCTCCATGAACGTCATCAGGTGCATCCGCTCGTTCTCCGCCTCCTCCAGCAGCGAGCGGATCCAACCGCCGCTTTGTTCGAAACGGCGGAGGGAGCGGAGGTGGAGGAGCATGCCACCCACCATCCCCGGCACGGCCGCCACAGTTTCCAACATCATCGCGCGGCACCCATACCTCCTCTGTTTTGGGCATGCAGTAAGTTACCCGCAAACTCCTACAAACCTTTTAAAAGACTACCCCAAACCAAAGCTGTGATTTGACACCCGAATTAAAGGGAATCTCACCGAATAGTAAATTGATTGCTTACTGTAAATACAAGGGAAATCGTATCTTCCTATTTCTTGGGGAAGACGAAAACTCTATCGGAGAAAAAGCGGCGTCACGTACCTGGAAGAAGATGTCGGTCGGGACTCGGAGAGCTTTTACCATCCAGTAAGCGAGCTTGTCGAGGAGCGTCGCGGGGACGTGGTGCTTCTTGAGATCAATCGAGGTATCCGCCTTGTACGTCTCCCACGGCTGCGGGATGTAACATATATTCTCGTTCAGATGACTAGCAATAGCATTAAAGATCATATAGGAAACAGCAACGAGGAGAACGAAAGAACATGGTTGGATGAAAAAGGATCGCTTACCATGAAGCAAGACCACCTCCAGGGGGTGCCGTCCTCCTTGATGATCTTGGATGGCTGGATGCCCCAATAGCTCGCAACGGCCTTGCGCTCGCTCGGTGGGACGGCAGTCGGTTCCCTCGAAGCGGCAGAAGGCTTCGCCTCCCCTTCCTGCTCTCCACCGAAAGCCTTAGCCGCCGTGGTGCTGGTCATACGTACGGGGAAAAGGCGCACCAGCACGGCTGCGGGCGACCGGGCCGGCGCCAAGGAGGCGGACCCGGAGAGAAGCAACGAGCATGCTGGCTCTCCAGCGGCGGCGGAGAAGAAGAGGCGAGGACCGAGGTGCCGGAGCAGCGTTGACCCTGCCATGCGCGAACTCATCCTTTGAAGACCCAACGAGAAAACAAAGTGCAAGGCAAAGAAGAGAGACGATTACCATGTTGGGGCCAGCCTGGTCTTATATGGCTGCGACACGGTAGACGTGGAGTGCGTCATGGCTGCCGTTGACTATGAAGCTGGCCGCGCGCAGCGCCGTTGCGAGGCGGCCGTGTCTATCTCTAGGAATCAATTGATTGGACACGTGGCACGTGGAGAAAGCGGTCTGGCCGTCTATGGCGGTGGTGGGAAGCTTCAAGGAGTCGAGAACGTTCGTTCACGTTCCCGCAATCTCCCGGTGCTCCTGATTCGTGTGAACACCACTGGTGTGATGATGATGGCGATGCAAGTGTCCGAACTATCAGACCGTTCGAGTTGTGGGGTTAGTCCTCCATCCACATACTGGGAAATACGATGCGTGCACGGGGCAGTTCGGTAATTTGAAGGGGTGTAGTTTCTTGGGCCGCAAGGCTGCAGACCCATCGCGCGGATGACCAACGCTTCATCGCACGATAAAGAAGCGGTGTCCAAGTTTAAGGTCCGTTGATATTTCCGCCTCGAAATGAAGCTCCTGCTGAGGAGAAATGGCAACCGCCCAAATCGACCACCTCGTGATGATCATCCGAGTACGCGTTCGCTCATGCATGCACTTGGCGAGTCGGAACACGTGTCGTCCACCATCATCAACACTGCCGAAATCTTCCCAGCACCGGGACGCCGCAACGCAAAAAAATAAAACGGGCACAGTAGGAGAAGGATTGCAGTCCGTCGGTGAGACACAGAAGAGTGAGTGATCCTCTGGTATGGTCGTTTCCAGCTACACCACTTCTCCTTGTAGCGTCCCTCGCTGCAACTCCTCGGGATGGCAGACAGGCAGCAAAACGAAGGGCATGAAGTCTGAAGAAATCGGGCTTATGTTATAGCCGCTAATTGTGGTTGGTTTACTTACTTTGGATTTCAATGACCTTTTTTACTTCTTTTTCGTATTATGACATTAGGGAAGTGAAGAGGACTCATAAATTTAGATGCCTGGTTTCAAATTGAAAACTATAGATCAAACCGATCTTTTCTTTCTCTTGAAGTCGATGGTCACTGCTGAGAATAACCTGATATGCACAATTACCCTGGAAGAACTTCCATTCCTAGTGCTTTTGTCTAGATGATCTACGACGTTTGTGAATCAGCACAGCATTGCATGCATCAGATGCAGGTCCCCCTGGGAGAGTGAAGCTAAGGTTCGATGGGCGACTTTGCCTGTCCCCAGTTCCAGAGCCTCGGTGAAAGATATCCAGTATTGGAGAAGCTGCAGAAGGTTTCCATCGGACCTCTTGTGTTTCTGATCTTCTACGAGGTCTCCGGCGGTCCTTTCGGTATAGAGGATAGTGTTCAGGCGGCCGGTCCTCTCCTAGCGATCCTTGGGTTCCTAGTTTTTCCGGTCATATGGAGCATCCCGGAAGCACTGATCACCGCGGAACTGGGCACCATGTTCCCGGAGAACGGTGGCTATGTGGTGTGGGTGTCCTCTGCGCTGGGCCCGTTCTGGGGTTTTCAGCAAGGTTGGATGAAGTGGCTCAGTGGCGTCATAGACAATGCCTTGTACCCGGTTCTGTTCTTGGATTACCTCAAGTCAGGCATTCCGCAAGTCGGCGGCGGCCTGCCGAGAGCTTCCGCGGTGTTAGGCTTGACACTCGTCCTGACCTACATGAACTACAGGGGCTTGACCATCGTCGGATGGCTAGCCGTTCTGCTCGGGGTCTTCTCCATCCTTCCCTTCATCGTCATGGGATTGGTGTCGATGCCGGAGCTGAGGCCGAGCAGATGGCTGGAGGTTGACTTACACGACGTCGATTGGAATCTGTACTTGAATACGCTCTTCTGGAATCTCAACTACTGGGATTCAGTGAGTACCTTGGCAGGGGAGGTTGATGATCCCGCTAAAACTTTGCCAAGAGCCCTCTTCTATGCAGTGATTCTGGTCGTTGTCGGCTACTTGTATCCTCTGCTGACGGGAACCGGAGCCATTCCCGTGGATAGGGAATCATGGACAGATGGATACTTCTCCCACATAGCAACAACTCTCGGAGGCGTTTGGTTGACATGGTGGGTGCAGGGTGCCTCTGCATTGTCCAACATGGGGATGTTTGTGGCTGAAATGAGCAGCGACTCATATCAACTTCTTGGCATGGCAGAGAGAGGAATGCTGCCGGAGTTCTTCAGCAGGAGGTCCCGATTCGGGACTCCTCTCATCGGGATCCTGTTCTCTGCATCCGGAGTCCTGCTGCTGTCATGGCTGAGCTTCCAGGAGATAGTTGCTGCAGAGAACTTCCTCTACTGCTTCGGGATGCTGATAGAATTTCTCGCCTTTGTGACACTAAGGATGAAGTACCCAACAGCATCCCGGCCTTACAAGGTGCCTCTTGGGACCGTCGGTAGCATTCTGATGTTGGTTCCTCCGACGTTGCTGATACTTGGGGTTTTAGCTCTTTCTTCGCTCAAGGTCGCAATGGTGAGCATCGTCGCTCTCCTCATGGGATTTGCGTTGCAACCTTGTCTGAAGTATGTGGAGAAGAAACGGTGGTTAAGGTTCTCCGTTAGCCCTCATCTTCCTCATCTTGGAGCTACTACTCAAGATGAGAATGCTGTGGAGGCTCTGATGCCGGTCTTGCTTGCAGATTCTAGAATCTAGCTACCGCCAATCTGTAACAGGAGGATATACCTTTCATCTTCCAACTCCAGATCTGGCTTTGGGTTTATAGCTAAAATCAAAGCTTGTCGGCAGAGAATGTTGTGCGTTTGCTTTCTCGGTAAATCGAAGTGTTGTGGTCATTGTGAGGATTATACATACTTAATAACTTGAATATTACTGACAAGATGAATGTGTTGCTGCTGTTCGAGCATAGAAATGCAGCATTTTGCATGCAGGGATAGATCTAAAAGCTTTAAGAATAATCACTCAGCAAGTAAGCAAACATAGAATTGTGACAAAAATTAAAAAAAACAAAAAAAAGGGGTATACTACTTGAACATTAAGCTTGAGGAATAGGTTAATTGACAAGAGGAAATAATATAACAATAATAATACATAATATTCATAAATAGCATGTATCAAGTACATAATACAGGTCGATTGGTGATTCAACATGACATCAGGATAGATAACCCTTCAATAATAATAAAAAGAGTTCATATAACACGACACTCTATGGGGTTATCTATATTAGTCATAAGTGGTGTTAGTGTAAACAACTTTATGCCGTGATCTCGGGGCCGACGCGGCTTGGTTGGGGGTCCGAATGACGGGGATCTCGCGCAGCGTCCCTCGAGATCTCTCGGTGGCCGGTTACGGTGGTTCGGTCGGGATGTCGCGTCGGAAGGAAAGCTTCGCCGCAGCGCCGGGAAGAGGCGACCCCGTTCTTGCACCTGCACACAGGTCGGGACGGAAGCTCGGCCCGACCCCTCCGACGATCAAGTCAGTGGATACAGAGGGGATTTTTGTATGAAGAAGTACTCCCCTTTTCATTTAGAACTTTGGGGTATTTATAGGTAAGTTTAGTGTTACCTGATGTGCCTGCCTACAGAAGCAGGACCGTACCTTTGATGGCGTCTGACATTGCCATTGGCGTTGCGTGGAGAATCGAACTGCCGCAGGGTATGGGCGAGCCTCGGTCGTCGTCCTCCTTTGCCTCGGCCAAGCGTGCGGGGTCAGGCAACGATGAAGTCGTTGTCTGAGAGCGGGTGACGTCGGCGCACATCAAGTCGGCATTATTGCCCTCCTCCTCGGGCAGAGTGTCGCCCATGCGTGGCTGACGTCGTGGCACGTCGTGTCACCATTATTACCCTCATCATATTCCCCCCCCGAAAGGAGCTATGCGTCGGTTGTTGTAAAAAAGGGGGGAGTCCGAGGCATGGCTTCAGCCTCCGGTACCGTGGTTATCTTAGGCGACATGAGGTCAAGCACGTCTCGAGCGGGCAAACCACGCCGAGGAGGTGGTCTTCGAGCGACATGAGACCGAGGAGCATGCCTCGGGCGCGCGGGACGCGCCGAGGAGGTGGTCTCGGGCGACATGTGGCCGAGGAGCACGATGCAGGCGAACTGGCCGCGTAGGTTTGGCCTCGAGGGGCATGGAGCCGAGGAGCACGACGCAGGCGGGCTGGCCGTGCAGGTGTGGTCTCGGGGGGTATGGAGCTGAGGAGCACGACGTAGGCGGGCTGGCCGCGCAGGTGTGGTCTCGGGGGGCATGGAGCCGAGGAGCACGATGCAAGCGGGCTGGCCGCGCGGGTGTGGTCTCGGGCAACATACGCCCGAGGAGCACGACGCAGGCGGGCTGGCCGCGCAGGTGTGGTCTCGGGCAACATGCAGCCGAGGAGCACAACGCAGGCGGGCTGGCCGCGCAGGTGTGGTCTCGAGGAGCACGTCGCAGGCGGGCTGGCCGCACGGGTGTGGTCT